AACTTGGAGACTGACATCGCACCTTCATCTTGGGGTAGAAGACTTAGAAAAGACCAAGAGGAAGTAAAAACGAAGTAGTAAGGTAGGAAAAGGGACAGAAGGCAAGGGTATCACTTTCTGAGTTATACTTACAATTTTCTCGTAGTCATAACCTTTGGAAGGCGAAGGAAGTGTAGTGGCATGTAGTCCTGGAAATGGACTCGTAGATCGGACCTCGTCCCACGACCTGGTCCTTCCATCTGTTCCGGGGTACCCCCCTCCAAGTCGGTGGCGCCGCAAAATCACTACGCAACTACCATTTCTGACAGTTGAAAATAGTAGTTGCTTAAGGACGAGCCTCCCTCGGTAGGTTGGGAACCGTGGGAGGGTATTTGGGGAGGGGGGACGTACTGATAACGCCATTTCAAACATCACGATGCTATGGCCTGGTTGCCTCGGGAGGGGGGAGGGTAAACGATAATCAAACATCGGCTGGCCCTCGCAGTTCATTCCATGGAATGATTCGCGGCCAGACATTGCAGCGATTTTAAAAAGAAATGGAATGCGTGGCGCAGTCTAAAAGAAACCGTTCAACATAGCATTCTTTACTATGACGTTTGTCCCAGGACATCTATTCGAAGTAAAAGATTCTCCGAGTTCCGCGCTCGTTATCAAATGACGTCCCGAAACTTGCACTTCCGCGAAAATATGAGGGGTTGGAGCTGAGTTCCAGCTCACATGTCTAAAGATATCGTGGCGATTGAGGAGAGCTCAGCGCAGTACAGTGAGCCGGTTTTTGTAATCGCGAGAGTGGAGTGCTGGGAACGAGGAGTGAGTGCGCAGAGGACGACAACGGCGGTGGCGGCTCAAGCTCATTGACCATCACACTGACAATATGGTGCAGATAGAGAATATGCTGGATCCGGGATGGCCATTTCTCAGACAAGCCGAGGATCTTCAGCTGAAGGTGAGTGGCTAGTTACTAAAGTTACATTATTACTAACTTACTTATGCGATAACTAACTGGGAGAGGACTAGAGAGGCAACGTAAAGAGAAAAAGAGGGCAAGAGAGAAAGCAGGTGTCTCGGCTACTTTCATCAATCCGCTATTCTTTCTATCCTATGTAAGTGGGGCAGCGGTAGAAACTGCTATCACACACATGAGCTCCGAAGGGAAGAGTGGGGGAGACTTTCGAAGAGGATGAACTGAGGTTCGGGTTGCTCGGGTCGCACTGACGAGCCCGGGTGTTGGTAAGACAACGATGATTCGTCTGCGATAACGGGCGAAACGGATCATCTGTGCTTTGGAGTGTATTCTTTTCCCTATTTTGTTTTTCTTACATTCTAAGGTAGAATAAAGGCACTCCTGAAGTTGGCACCATTAAGAGTAGAGCTGTTAGAGAAATGAAACCTAACTTGAAGATATCTC